TCCAATAATGATCTTTAAAGGGTGGTGGGAATTCGCCGGGGGGGGGGGGGGGGGGGGTTGCAAAACTAGTCATTGATAATGTACGAGGTTACGAGATATGTGATGGTAGAGGTGGAGTCATTTTCGAGGAAATTGATCAAACTCCAGTAGCAGTATGAAAGTTTTGTTGTGAAATTCATAGGCATATAGAACAACCAAACAACCAATTTGGTGGCTAAAAAACCAATTTCTTTGTGTTCCTGCAAGTGTTTGTGGTTTTGATTTTCAACATTGGCTTATCTTTTGGTTGTTAACTACGATAATTCATAGTAGTTTTTGGTAATACAAGTTAGGTAGGCCAAAACCATTTCGAATGGGACAAAATATTTTCATGGGCCCTTCTCTGGCCTCCAATCCGGACAACCCATATTGGCTAAAACAAAACTTCGAAAATAAATGCTCTCACGCTTCATCTCGGTTTCTCATCATACGAGTCGATAATTTAAAGTAATCCGGCCAACTTAAAGCTAGTCAAAATAATTTCCAACCTGCAATTTCACATTTTTCCTCATCCATCCCACGCTACTGGTTTCCAGAGGCTTTACATCACACATATATGTATGATGTATCATGTGGCCCATCCCCTACTTTCTTAATTTTGTGTTAATTTTAGGACAAATCTTAGTAAGAAATTTTGTGAATTGGGACTTCGAATGTGATAGATTGAATGTTATCTTATCTCTGTCATAATTATTATATAGGAATATTCTACCATTTACATTTTAACATATAATACTATTGATTTTCTAATATTTGATGTCAAATTAAAACCAAACGCTTCAACATAAAATTTCGATCCATGGCAGACTTGGTAAGGAATTTCTGCTATCCTACTAAAAAAAAGGCAAAATACATTTGTATAGCCATAACTTTCACGCTTTTGACAAATATAGCCAAAACTATCCGAAAACACAAAGTAGCCTAAAAATTGGATGGTATGTGACAAATCTAGCCATTTTTGTTAGAAACTTTGACGGTGTTAGAAACTCCGTCAGTTAGGTTAACGTTAGGCTGAGTAAGATGTCAAATCATCGCACACGTCAGCGACCAGTCAGCATATCATTGCCATGTCATTTTAAATTATTAAAATAATTAATTTTGAAATAAATAAAAAAAATTCACTAAATTTTTCCCTACCCCTTCCATTTCCCCTCGTCGCCGCCCCTCAAGCCTGCAAACCTTCACCGATCTACCCGATTCACCCATCCCTGCCAACGCCGCAGATACCACGAGCTCCCCGGTGGTGGGATTGAAGTGGAGCTCCGCCAACAACAATTGAATCCCAATCAAAAGACCCCTAACCACCGCCGCCGTCCAGATCTTCCCCCCTTCAAATCGAGCCTCATCCCCGACAAGGGAACTGAGAGGGCATCTCCTTTCCCAATCGTCGCGGAGCGGCGACGACTCGCCCAGGCCATCCTCGACGTTCTTGTCCTCCTCCTCGAGAAGACGGGGGAGCCAGTCAATCGCCGAGTTCTTGGACTCTATACCCCCGATCTGAAGTAGGGTCAACAAATTCATGGACTCGAATCGAACTGCGTCGTGCTTGGAGGAGTAGCCGGAAAGACATCGTGGAGGACGCTGCTGCGGATGAGAAGCTCGCCGTCGTTGATGTGGCGGTCCAGCCTGGCGACGGCGGAGTCGGATCGCTCTGAGTCTTGAGCTTGCCTTTGGATAAGAAAATGGATGCCTAGCATTTGGCGGCGAGCTAGGCGGATCTGTAGCAGGCGACGGCAGGTGCGCTGGTTGGAAGTCGATCCTGGGAAAAAGGCATGCAACATCATATTGGGATTGGTGGTTTTTTTTTGTTTGATACTTTGATTGGGATGCTGGGAGTGGGAAGAGGAGATTGAAGGATGATTGGTGATGTTTATTATTTGGTTAATTGGTAGGTTGGGAGAAGCATATTGAAGAATCGAGAGAGGGGGGAAGAACAGGGGCCGCTCCAGAAAGAATAAGAGAGAATGAGGGAGATAAGGTTTGTGTGGCTAGAGTTTTTAGGGATTTTATTCTTTTATATTTTACTAAATAAATTTTTTTTTTGTTTTTTTGTTAATCCACGTGTCTGAAGAGAAATTGTCAGTTCAGCAATTCCGTCTGTACAGTCAGATTGTTAAGTAACACCGTTAAAGAGATGGACGGAAGTGTCTATTTGTGGTTTTCGAATAGTAATAGCTATATTTGTCAAAAGTGTAAAAATTATGGCTATACAGATGTATTTTGAAAAAGAAAAAAAACTGCTGCCTAGTCTTGGCGACAAATAGAAGCCGGAAGGGACTGAAGCCCATTATAGCTGGCCCATATGTGAAACCCCCGGAAAGGAAGCCCAGAAAACCCACGACTGCATAATGCATTATTACATCTCCACAGACCTTCACATGAGACGAATCAGAGCGCTTTATAAAAAGGAAAGCAAGTGTGGTAGTACCTCAGTGGATGGGGTGGGACGGGAGCCCTTTTTCTCTTTTCAGGCTTTCACCAGAACACGTGATGGAGACGAAAGTACACCAAATTTCGCAGAATTTTGTTTCTTATCACGAAGAAATTTAATTCGATCCCCATGTTCTTAACCAATTTCTTTTTTTAAAAAAAATCTCACAAACTCCCGATTATCCTCCTTAATCCACATATTATCACTAAAGCAATGATACGAGAATCTCCACATCCGCCAAAAAATCCATATTACGACGCTCACATTTTCACAGTGGTACCTTCGGGCCGGTGCCTCGACGGAGAAATTAGAAGCCGCGTGCCCGCTTCCTCGAACAGGTGGGTTTTTCTCTGTTGGAAATTTCTTTTTTGTTGGCATTATAACTAAGCCGACAATAAACGTTCTATTTTCCCGTGCCCATATGCCCATGTCGATTATGCCTAGACCCTTGCGTCTACTCTACACCAAAACAACAACTCGATCAACCACTTTACCATCCATCTATATCTGAGCTGTTCCTCTTCATCTATCGTATACTATTATATTATATTTCAAAAATCAAATTTAAATTATTATCAGACTAAAAAATTTGAAGAATTGTCGAAGAAGTAATCATATGGGAAAAGGATTTTTTTTCGTTTCCTACGAAGAAGTCAATTAAGCATTTATAGCGTCATTACAAAAAGGGACAAATAAGTCGGTGACAGTTGTTGCCAACTACAGTTCCCCGGCACTAATCACCCCGGCAGGAGGGGCAAATCGGTGAACAAACAAACAACCTTGCTAACAAATTTACAATTCCACTACTCAAATCGGGGATTCCAGTTTCCTCTAAAAATTTTCACCCAGTTAATTACGGGAAATAAAAAAAAAAAAAAATGAAAACGAGAAAGGAGAAATCTAGTATTAATCCACTAACCACGCACCATGACCTGGATTCTCCTGCATTCAGTTGGTTAGTAATCGGTGGAGGAGGAGCCGAGGAGCTACGCGATGGACATGCGGCGGCGGGCAGGCGGGTAGCAGTCCGGGCAGCGAACCAAACCGTTGACGTTGCACGCAGCGCAGCTTCGGAACCCGTGCTTCTCCGAGTAGATCTTGTGGCTGCCGCTGCACTGCTCGCAAAGAACGAATCTCAGACCTCCGCACAGATCGCACTCGTTGGACGGCGCAATCGCCGCAGCCGACAACCCTGAGAAGATCCTCTTCAACTCCCCGCTCTCGTGGAGCTCTCTGATCTCGTCCAGCCCGACGATGCGCCTCCCGCCGACGAGGACCACCGGGAGCGTCACCTTCCCGGAGGTTCCTAGGATCTCCTGCACCTCGCCGAGGTACTTCCCGTCCATCGACAAGTCTCGCTCGTCGATCGGGACGCGGAACCCGCGGAGGATCGATCTGACGGCGTAGCAGTCGTCGAACGTCCGCCGCACGACGCGGAGGCTGGTGAAGTAGAGGACGACGCAGTCCTGCTGCTGCTGCGCCTCTTTCAGCTGCGGGAGGGAGGGCGGGAGAGACTTGCGGAGGTAGCGGAGGACGGAGGTGGAGATCCGGACGCGGTGGAAGATGGAAGGCGTCCGGGGCGAGATAGAAGGAGGAGCGGATGAGCCGATTCCGATTCCGCCGCCGCCATGGTCCGGCTCGGAGATGAGGGTTTGGATGTCTTTGAAGGAGGAGCAGGAGAATTTCTTCTTGTGCGCCGGTACAGAAATCGAAGTCGAATTCGAAGTCGGCGACGGAACCCTAGTTGGCGATTTCAGCCAGTCTGGCCACATGAGAGAGTCTCGCAGAGGATTCCAGAAGGAGGGAGGAGGAGGAGGAGGAGGAGGAGGAGATTGGAGAGAAGGGAAGAGCTGGTTTCGATATTGGGGATTTTTGGGGGACTGTGGGCTTCGAGAGACTGGAGTAGGTAGTATATAGCGAGAAGAAAAAGGGTGGGGGAAATGGTGGGGCCACTTTTTTGGGTCTATGTATTAAAGAAAAGTGGGGGCTTTAGGCTTATTATTATCACGAGCTTATGTAATGTGCCTTTTATGAAGATAAATCAAATCATGGATGATGTTTTTAGTTGGAAGAGGAAAAAGGTCCCTAGTCTACATGACTTAACAACATTTAGAAAATAAATTTACAAGAATATTTTCGAAGGTGTAGAATTTTCGATTTGTGGCTTCCTATCTTATCACACTTTTTAATGAAATATTTGTATACATCGAGAAATAAAACACGAAGGAAAGATAAGAAATCTTAAAGGTCGATCTATTATCAATCGATTAATAATTTAACTGTAACAAGAGCAAAATCATAATCTTAAATGACGATATCACTCTCAATGGTGTTATACGACAACTATAATTATGTTTCATGTTAAGATAACTATCTTTAAGAAATAACCCCAAAGATAAGAAAAGGTAAAAATTAATTTTTTAATTAATGTTTTGGCATTAGAGGGTATTAATTAATTAATTAAAATTTTTATTAATGGTAATTAATTAATTATTATAGAGGAAGGAGAAAAGGTATAAATTAATTACAAGATATAAAGATACTGGGGAGAATTTTGTTCTGAAAAAAAGATAAATAATCTATCTAAAATCCGCAGCCACGTAGTAGTAATCACTAATCATTATATCCACAAAACAAGGGTAGCTAGGCAGTAGCTATAGCCAGTTAATTGAGCAATTAACTTTTGGAACTATCTAGTGACTGCTGGTGTTCCGTCAAAATCTTTAGTTTGGTGAGTGAGTGTGCGTCCTATCCCATTTACCTGTCCACGTTCTCTCCACAAATAATGGTAATCTGCAAAGTAACAAAGAAACACAAACACGATACTGATGTTGATTATTGGTGTCTGGATGAACAGCCCCCAAACAATAATGGAAGCAGCTGCTTCTGTCCAACCTTTTAATGTGCTGATGTTGATGATGATCTTATCACTTCTTTGATCGATTAGAGATGAGAATCTCGCCGTAGGGCACCTTCTGGTCTACTGCAATGTCGCCTCGTGTTGCAAGAACTGGCGAAACAGGAGGAAAGCGTGACATATCGACCCGGTGTCAATTCGTAGATGAACAAGCTTCTGACTCGTGATGGGATTCGTGATTCATACCACAGGTTTGATAGAAGAAGAGTGCTGCTCGTTTGCGGTCCATTCCGGTGGCTAGATTGTTGAGGGACTCGTGTTTGGGAGCTTTTGGCCATTCGAAATGGGTCTTCAGGTGCCTTCAAATGCAAGCAAAAACCATTTTAAACTAGTACCATAGTTTTTGATAGGAACGAACACACTCTAGGGTTGTTGATGGAGTAAGCCATACTTTCGGATGTCTTCAGTCATGGCGTCGAGTGGCTCAGAGGTGTTGATGAGTGGTTGAGTCTGTGTAGGTCCAGTTTCCAACAGCACTTCTGCAGGAAGAAAAAAAAATTGAAATCAAACAGCAAAAATGAGTGCCGGAGGTGACACTGAAGCAGCAACAGCCCAAATAAGTTGAATGAAACTATATGTCGTGCTCCGTTCCACCTTGATCAGGAGCCGAGTCCTTCTCGTGCACTGTCGTGATATCTGGATCTGGACGCCATGATTTGTTCTCAGGAATTGACTGAAGGCTACTACCACTATGTTTGCTGTATTGAAGAGTGAAAAAAAAAAATTCCATGGAAGGGATCATTATCAAGAAAGCAAAGAAATAGCCTTGGTACTCAAGTATAACTTGGGGTTTAAATTTAACTTACTGTCCTGAGTTGATCTCGGAGCGATGTCGTGGAATACTATGTCCAGAACCTGAACTTGGTATGAATCTTGCTGGCTTCCCTGTGGAAATTTCCAACAATGTCTAGGAATCAGCATTGACAGAAAAAAAAACCCAGGATTCAGGCGACATAGCTAAACTCACCACGATTTCCAGGAGATGTGACAACAGGTGGTTCTTTGTTCCCTCTTATACTTTCGTTGTCAGCAAGGTAGGCTTCAAACTCAAAATTCAGACCACGGGTTTCATAGAACGAGGGAGCTGCTTGTTCGAGGTTGATTCCAATGGGTAGACTGTTGAGGGACTCAGCTTCTGGCCCTTTGAAAGGGTTCTTCAGGTACCTGCAAATGCAAGCACAACTAGTACCACGGGTTTGATAGAAACAAACGCACACTTGGGTTGTAAATGGAGTAAACCACACATTCGGATGCCTTCATTCATGGCCTTGAGTCTCTGGGAGGAAGTGATGGGTCGTTGAGACTGTGCAGGTCCAGTTTTCAATTGCACTTCTGCAAGAAAAATGAAATCCAACAGTAATAATGAGTGCCGAAGGTTGCACTGCAGCAGCAACAGCCCAAATCAGTTAAATGAAACTATATGCTGTGCTCCATTGCACCTGGATCAGGAAGCCATAATGTGTCCTCAGGAATTGACTGAAGGCTACTACCACTATGTATGCTGCATTGAGGGAGTGAAAAAATCCACCGAAGGGGTCATTCCAAAGAAAGCAAAACATGGACTTGGTGCTTAATATTAACTTGTGATTTTTATTTTTTTGATAGATATAACTTGGGATTAATTTAACTTACTTTCCTGAGTTGATCCCGGAGCAATGTCGTGGAATACCATGTCCAGAACCTGAAATTGGTAAGAATATTGCTTCTTTACCCGAGGAAACTTCCAACAATGTCTATAGATTGAGCATTAGACAGAAAAAAGCAGGGTTTAAGCGAAAGAGCTAAACTCACCAGGATTTCCAGGAGTTGTGATAACTGGTGGTTCTTTGTTCCCTCTCATTCTGATGTTGTCCACAAGGTTGGCTTCAAACGCGTTATCAAACAGGTGGGCTTCCAATTGCTCATTCAAGACACCCCTGTCCTTCTCAAAGGAGATACCAATTGACTGAGACCCACCCCCACCTTGATAATCATTGAAGTTCTTCACATTCAAAAGACACTAGTGGATTAGAGAGACATTCAAAACGAGGGAACAAAAGTTGTCGTTAAAGGAGTTGCTTTACATATGGATCTTCAAATTGAGCTGCTGCATCTTGTGGGGATGAATTTGAAGCTTCAGGAGGCTGAGGTGAGGTTGCCCTTGCTGATTGCAGAAAGTACAGTATGAGTGAGTTTCATAAATGGAGAAGCCAAAGAAAAAGCCCCAGAAGAAGTCAGGCAAGTGTATGCAAAAATCACTCACCAGATGGAGAGTCATGTGGAGGCTGAGTGCTTTTCGTCCACTGCGCGAGTAGAGGAGCAGGATAGTAGATATCTTTGTTTGCATTGATTGATAAATCATCAATGAGTACCGTAGGTGGCAACTCCATCAGACTGGCCACCTTCATCCTCGACATAATACTCTTTTTCACGTCCTGTTGGTATATACATCATGTTTAGCAATCCGTTCATTACCCCAAGGCTAAATCATTGTTGCAATGTTGAGGCATACCTTTCCCTTTCTATCTCTCCTCGAGGTGAGGTCAGAAGCATTTTGAAGCCATGACTGGTATACCTCACCAGGTATTACTGTTTTTTCTATGTCCATCCAATTAGCTGCTTGTCTCCTCCTTTTCCTTATAATTGGTCCTTGCACCTGCAGTAACTCATCGAATCCTCCATTACTGTCAAGCTTATGCGTTGTTACCTTTGGGAGTAATTTGTTCACCAGGAAAGTATTTTAAGTTTGGTTCTTGTTTACCTTACCTGTCTGCGAGCTCTGGGAGTTTGTGGCTCGGGTGGGAATGATAGTGAGACATTTACAGGAGTGAAATATTTTGAGTGTCCCGTTTGCTGTTGTGAAAATGCAGCTTTTCAGAACATTAACAATAATATTTTGAGTGTCCCGTTTACAGGAGTTTTTTTTTCTTCTATTAAACTCCTTTTAATTAACAATATTATATCACCATTATAACAAAAAAACTTACCTCTCTGCCTACATTGTGTGTTTCAGATGGTTGGTTGACAAGGCTTTCAGGTTGCTGGTCAGGGATTTCTTTGTCTGTGAAAGGATTTCCTTGTTCATTTGCTGACATTCCGAAAATAGAATGTAAGCAAATGAAGAACATATGTGAAAGCATTTGGGAGTCAGCAAGCAAACCTCCTAGATCTTCATCTTGACGAGGTTGTGAGGGTAGAACAGTTGAAGGCATATCTGTTTGAAGATCTCCTGAAAAAGTCGCGTTCATCTGAGTGTCCCCTTCTCCACTAATATCGAATCTGTATCACCATGCACAAAAGACAAAGATGGAATTAGATAATTAAACTTACCGATTAATGGGATCAGAAACTGAAAAATTCCCATCCATTGAACAAAGGCCTTAATGCTAAAATTACTTAATCTCCATAAAAGACTTTCAACTGAAGATCCAAATGGGTTGGGAAATCACCTTTCAAAGCGATCATACATATCTGTGTTAACTTGACATGGGTCAAAGTGTTCGAATAATTTTATGTTCTCTGGATCAACTGAAGAGACACATGAAAAATCAGGGAAAGGAAATTAATCCCACTAGTTCAGCGCTCATTTTGATAAAACTATACAGCTTAGTAGAGTGAGGGAAGCAAAACCTTGATGCATATGCCCAGTAACATCGTCTTCCATGGCGTCATTGTTAATGTAAGTCTCGTCCAAGGTATCTAGTTGCTGCATGTACAATTAAGTTTACAGGAAGAACCAAGTTAGATCTACATTCAGAAGCGCATATACCACTGATACTGACAGTATGATGCCCATCTTGTATATTCCAAAATCCCAATTTGATGTTTCCACCTAAATTTCGGCACTATCCATGACTGTAACGAAGTTTCACGGCTTTCCAATGTTTCCAATTTGCAGGGTAAGAACAGAATTACATTGACTGAAAAACCGGAGAGATCAATCTTGAAGATATGAACAGAGAAAATAGGAGCACACATATATAGCGTTTCCGGTTTCCCTTACAACAGAACTGCGGAATAGGGAAAAAATCCAGAGTAGGTTAAGACAGTCAAAACATTCTCGTAACTCCATAAAAACAGAGCATCACAGTTTCTAGTTCAGCCCTTTAATTTACTAGTTCGTAGCAGCTAGGTAATTGATGTGAGTTGAGACGCGAAGAGACGCCTTCATCCACCAATATATCTGGGTAAATTAGGCAAGCACTTTTCCCGAGCCATCATTCACTGAACAGTTTAAGGAGGATCTAACCTACCATCATAGATCTAGACAACGATGGAGAAAAAAGGGGAAGATGAATTACCACTGCGAAATAGGAAGTATTCTGGAAAGAAGGCATTGTTGCGTTTGAACTCGAGAAGTTCCTAGACTGCCCAATTTCAGGGTGGTCCACGTCCTGAACATCCGGCAGAGTCACAGCTTCTTTCCTGCAGATCCATAGAGAGACACTCGTTTCGGTTCGTTTTAATTGCACGGAAAAGAAGAACAGCAGAGAACTTGGGAGCGAAACGAACTTGGCCTGTAACTTCCGTTTCGGAAGAAGGGTACGGTCTGTCGCTGGTTCCACTTTCCATGTCTCGTTGATTTTAACCTTAACAGCGTTTCCGGTGGAATCACAGGAAATATTCAGCTCATGCAAGGAACCCAGGAAAAAAAAAACGCAAGCAGAATACCGATTCGGAGTTCGATTCGGGTACCAGCAAACGGGTGACGTCCTCTGTCGGAGAAAACCCAGTACAAGAACAACGCAGATTCGTGAGCAATAATGACGAAAATTCAAATTCGACGTTGCAGAAAAGAAGAAAAAGAAGCAAGATCAGAATTCAGGAGAGGAGCGACTTCCTCACCGTAGAGCAGCTTCACTTTCCGTTCATAAACAATCACCACTCCGCCTGAAGAAAGACCAACCAAAACGTTTCGTCGTCAAGCGAAATGAACGAGAAACAGACAAACGAATAGGGACGGAGGGAGCAGAGAACCCATTAGAATTCCGGAGAGCCGAAGCGCCATCGGAACCGAAGGATTCAGAATCTCCTCACTGTTAAAACGAAACAAGCAACCGGAGGTCAGTACAGTATACAGGACGATGGAGAGGATGGACGACAAAAACGGCGAGGCTAATTGAACCAGATGCTGATGATGTCGATCATGTCGAGCTTCTTCCGGTTCATCTTGGCGTGCATAGTTGCCGCCATCCTTGATCAGAGAAAGAGTAAAACAACGCCATTATAACCGGAATCCTCCATTGAAAGCAGAAAGTGAGTGCGTAGAATCAATGAATTCATTACCAAATCTGGCAGAGGGGAGCTTTCCGAGCTAGAAGCTGGTGAGAGTAGAACATCTTCCTTCTCTTTCCTTTGCCCTCTTCTCTACCTGGGCGGTGAATCTAGCTGAGGGACGGACGACGGAGGAAGGAGGAGAGAATTCTGTCCTGAGGGAGAGTCGGTTATCAGCTCAGCTTCGAATTTGGACATTTAAAGTCCGTTGGAACGGAAAAAAAGTGCTGAGCTAATACCCGGCCCGCCAATAGAGCCAGTAGACTGGGGAGCAGGGGACAGGGAGAATTACGGTGATATGATACCGTCACACGCGAAGGCACACCTAGGATAGAAACGCAGCTGACACGTGTACCTAGCAGTGTGTAAAATTGGAGGGAAATCGGTTACCTCCAGGCTCACAGCTGGGTTACGCTAGCAAAGCCTTTTAGAGGGAGAGGATCATAACTTTTGTGCACTTGTAAGCGGGGCCCACAGGATCAGCTTCCTCTACCACCTCTTCCTTTCGTCATTTTTCTTACAGAGCCAAGGCAAGAATACGTTCTTCCTTCCCTTCTTTTCTCCAAGCCCTAACTCAACTGTCCTGTGGTTGGAGCTACGAAAATGGCGGAGGTGTGAGGAAATGTGTACAATAAGTAGGTGTCCGATGGTTGGATGGAGGTGAAGGATGATGTTTCTGAATGGAGGTTGCAGTTACTAACCAGAAGCTGAGTTACAGAGGTGAATGAGTTTGGTGGTTGCTTCGTTTGGAAGGATTTCGCCGCCGACGGCAAGCTTGTGAGGAACGACAGCTCCTCTGCTTGTACTTCAGTGTATGTTCAAATTGAGGCTGTTGTGTGAAATTGCAGACAAATTTGCAGCATTCATTTCATTACAGTACGATGATCATTGGGGTACAAATTCGAAGTAAATCAGACTGAAAGTTAGCAGCTAATTGAATGAAATGGAGGTACTTGTATTATTTCTGGTATCTCAAAATTGGGAGTTCTACAAACAGAGCAGGCTTAGATTTACAGGACAGGACACGAACATCTGATGTCGAACCGTCCTCTGTTTTTTTCGTTGTTGCTATGACGTATAGTGTGTGCTTTCTTTTCTTGTAACTGTGGTATTTCTACACTTACAGAACTCGGAGTCGTAGAGGAAGAATAAAGAAGACATGTAAGATCGTCGTCTCTCCTACAACTTCACCACCGATTGCCAGAACCTTGAGCTTGCCTAGAGTTTGACTGATTCTATAGTGCTGCTGCAGTACAGTAATTGATTTTAACTGGTGGGGCGCCAGAGACTTTTCTGGGCAACCAAGTACTGAGCTTGATGGATTTTTACCGACCAATGAAGCGACTTCAATATTGCAGTGAGCTTGTTGATCATTTCTATGGTGTCAAAGACGAGAAGATACCCACCAGGTCTTACTATCCGGTCAATCTCTACCCCGACATCTATCAGGTCACATCTGAGGATTGCAAAGAAAAAATTTCTGACCTTAAATATCACTAAGAAAGCAACAAGAATTTGGTACTGATTAAGCCAAGGGGAGTGCAGCTTTACCTTTCCGATAGAGCCTTGAAGAGGAAGCTGGAATGGAGAAGGTCGTATGTTCGAGGGTAAGTGTTGAATGACTCGCACCAATCGTGGTAGACTCCGATCAACCCTCTGTCGTAGATGATGCTGAGAGTGTCTTCCTCATGAACCGGAACAACGTTCATCACCCAGTACGGAAGATCAATCAATGCTGCAGCAAACCTGTCCAAGCACATGTCGATAGTACAAGTCAACGAGCACATACACAAGTGGCAGATAGGTTCATTAACATGGCGCGAGGTTCTTAATACTTACCCTCCATAGCCGGCATTCATATCCATGATGTTGCGAAAGCTAGGCCAGCTGATGTTGAGTTTCATGAGGTAAGTATCGGATACAAGTTCGGTCCAGCGTCTGTTATCTGCTTTGTACTGTTCTACAACCCCTGGTTCCAACGGCATGGACACAGGGAGACTGCTGAGCCTGTAAGGCCATGTTACTGGCCACTTAATGACTTTGCCTTGTTTGTCTAGCGGGAGCCTTGTAATGCAGTTTAGCAGAGGTGTGTACCTAATGAAGCCAGCCATAGAACAATTAGAAATCACCAATTTTGCTTAAAATTTTGAGTTCTTTTTGGAGGTTCTTTAATTCTTTTACCATGAAATGTTGTGCTGATCGTTCTGATCACACAGAGGAGGATTATTCTGTGGGCGTTTCTCATAGCAAGAAGGATTCTCTGGTTTCTGATAGATTACCAATCCAATTCCGGTTGAGTCCATTGTCTTGGCCACAACTTTCCAGCACATAGCTTCAGTCAAAGCAGATACAGCTGCAGTATAGGCTAAGAACGGATGAGAAAATAGCATCGAACTGATTGTCATGGTGATAATTGCAGCAGCGTGTAAATTAGTAATTGGGGAGAAAGGAATCTGACATTTCCAAACTTTGGCGTCTCTTTGATCGTCCTGGTACACAGGCGTGGCTGACCATATGAAGAAACCTCCAGGTCTCAGAACCCTGTTGAGCTCCAGAAGCGGCTTCCCACCTGAAAACTTCGTACATGCTCATGAGAACCAGAAAGAAAATGGAAAGAACATGAGAAACAGATCAACATTCCGCTACATACCATCGGCATCCCAGTGAACTCTGCAACGAGCACAATGAACCAGATCGAAAGCATTATCAGGAAACACGAGCTGCTGCGTCCCGATCACCGAAAGAAACGCAGGGATCCCTCTCTCGAGAGCAAACTGAATCTGCGCTTCATGTTCATCCTTGGGCGCTATCGACATGGTAAGGACTTGCTTGTCCAGCAAGTATCCGCCGAAGCTAGCCACACCACAACCTACGTCTAGAGCCACCCTTATCTGTCTTCCCCAATGGATTATTGGCACCGTCTGATAATCCAAAACAACATATTGTCAAGTTTCAAAAATTTCACCACATTCCAATTTTGTTACGATGTAATCAACTCTATACCTTGTGAATGAAGCTGGCGTAGTTGGAGACGCCATCTTTGAACTGAGTCCCACCTCCAGGGAATACAAATTGATCGCCTTCCTTGCGCACCCAGTTCTGATCCTTCTTGTACTCCACAAGCTTAGGATGTGGCACATTGTCGTACCATATCTTGGAAACAAATTTAATGGTGTCTCAGACGCCGTATTACCAATTGGGGATCAATATTGGTTACATGATCTCACTCTCAAACTAGTTTTACTATTAGTAATTTTCCGTTGAAATTAAGATGAACTCTAATCACCATAATCGCGGCTTAATTGCTTCATTGTGACGCAATTGAACCCAATTGTCCCATCCAATTCCATCATCCAAACGACACCTAATGCTTAATAATTCAAACGAGGGATTCAGATTTCTAAATTAGGTCAGTGGAAGAATGAATGAGTTTACCATGTCCCTGCTCTTAGGCCAAGGCAGAGGGCGCTTGTATCCTTTGGGGAGAGGAACCAAACACCTTAGCGGCGCCGGTTTAGGGCAGTGCCTCTCCCTGTGCTCCATGTGCCTTCTGGTTGGCAGCCTCTTGATGGCCTTGTAATTATCCAAACAGGGGATGTAATCCGCCGCCAGGACTCCCTCGCAGGGGCGCCACGCAATGTCGAGGGCCGGCGGGGTGGGGAAGTTGGACTTTCTGGCCTTGAGCGCGGGGGAGTCCTTGCCGGGAGGGACGGGAGCGTCGTTGGCGTCGGAAGGCTCGGTGGTGGAGACGTCGGAGCGACCGGCGAGGGAGAAGTAGTAAGGGAGGTCGACGGTTTTGCCGCTGGAGAGGAAGAAGAAGGTGATGGAGATGAGGAAGAGGAAGAGAAAGAGGAATAAGGCGAATCCGAAGGTCCGCTCTTTCATCAGCTTGCCCAGCGACATCGCGGCGGGGCGGTGGCGGTGAGGATTCGGTTTTCCTGATTGTCGTCGGCGATGGAGAGGAGGGGAAGGGAAGGGATGGGGGAGTGAGATTGAATGGATGATTGATTGAGATGGGAGTGTGAGTCTCTGTTTCTCTGAGGTTGAAGAGAGAGAAAGTGAGAATGAGAGAGAGAGAGAGAAGGAAGTGTGAAACTGGAAGAGAGGGGTGGAGCTGAAAAGGAGGGGAATAAACCGGAGAGGCGGAGACTGTTGTTTTTTCTTCTATTTTTTGCCATTTTTCCCGCTATTTCTGTGATCGGGCCGGAGAGGAGGAGACTGTGATCGGGCCGTAATTGTCTGGTCCGGCCCTTTTTAGCTTTTTCTTTTCTTTTCTTTTTCTGACTACTAATTGAATTAACTCAATAGTATGGCAAGAAAAATGTCTTCCCTGTCTAATTATGAGGTTTGTACGATCTATTGTATTCTTGGTTTCTCTTACCATATATTTTGGGTGGGAAAAAATTAATTAAGTTTCAGGGATGAATAAAATGTAAATTTCAAGATAAATCGTGATCTAATGGACTAGAAAGTTTGACAAATTGATATAAAAATTGTCACATAAAACATGAGTGAGATGAATATCTTAGTCACACAAAAGTATATGAGGAAATCAAGTAATCTAGTCTATAGTCTCTACATAACCATATAAAAAGTACGAGGAAATCAAATAATTTAGTCTACGGTCTCCACATAACCATACAAACCAGGAAATTTGTGAGACTTTTGGCAAAAAAGAGTTCAAAGATTCAGTGAGTAGAATTCAACATCGAAGTCACACCTACATAACAAAGTACAACAAACTATGAAATAGTTGGCGATTGTTGATTCCATGCTCATAGCTAGGGTTGTTAATGAGCGAGGCAATCGTGAGTGGCTTGGTCTCGAACTCGATAAAAGCTTGTTCGATTTAAAAAAAGCTCTACCTTATTCGGCTCGTGAACTAGCTCGATTAGGTGGCTCGTTAATACAACTCATGAATTGTCTCGTTTTGAGCTTATGAGATGTCCCAACATCGTGACTAGAGAGCCAACTCGACTACATATTATGAGAAAATCAATCTATATTTTATGAGTTGGTTTGTTGATGATGCATATAGTTATTAAATTGTACATCACCTCATATGGTGTTTAATACATTGAGTATATGTAAGCAAATATGTCCCATATATGACATAACATTAGGTAATCACATGTATCATATATATTGTAAATTATCTTCGGGTTAAGCTCAAGCCAAACTTCCGATTTTAATGATGTGTCAAGATTTAATAAATGAGTTGACTCGTGTTCGACTCAACTCGGCTTGTGTATAAACAAATCGAGTTTGAGCAAGACGAAACTCGACTCGACTCGACTCATTAATAGCCTACTCTACTGATAGCATGACACTCTACCACAATGACTGATAGCACGAAGTCTTGTTAAGTTGTTATCCCATCAGCAAATCGAGATTCGAGGACTATAAACTTCAATTTGAGGGCTCGAGGATACAATTCAACAAACTAAGATGACGAACAAACCTTCAAGGAAGTTCGTGACTTCAACATTGGCTAACAGCTCATCCTCCCATTTCTCAAAAAATTGGTCTCCTCTAAAATTGGTAGTTAGTCATACGGTATAAAAAACACTGGGAATCAGGCCAGGAAAAGGAAAAAGACTTGGGCAGTTTGGCCATACAAAAACAATAGTACAACTATTCAAGCCGCCGGAGAAACTCAAAGGAGCAGGTGCCAAAAATCAACTCAAGGAAACCCGAACTTCAAATCAAATGTAAGAACATCCAAAACTACAACCCCCTATAGACCGACTTTTGTTTTCTCTACTAGTGTAGCTTTTACTCGGTTATGCCCGGACCGGCATTCTCTACATCCACATCTCCCATACCGGTATCTTCTTCCTCCTCGCTGTCTTCATCCCCGCTAACCTCCTCATTCTCGTTACGCAGCTTAGCCATGTGCTCGGCCAGCAACTTGTCATCCCGTTCGCTCACCTGGATCACGCAAACAACAAAGCAGATTGATCGAATGAGTCGGGAGTAGACAAGTTTATGTGACATTAATCAATCAGCCCATTAGGCAGAAAACATTTCCAGACACTAAAAAGGTGGGATTCAGTGATAAGGTTTTGACACTCACCGCTCTTGGTGCCTCCTTCACAATAAGCTTCCCTTTCTGCGCTTCTATTGCTTCACTGCATGCTGTGATGGCCTTGGTGAGGATGGATATTCCTTGGTCCTGCAGAAGCCAATGTAAAATCAGTGGTCAACATAACACCCACAATAACTCAACCAAACGGTAAAAAGATCTGTCAGCATTTTGATGCATTAGGAAAGAGACTAACTTTGTCAAGGGTTTGTGTGGTGAGAACATAAAGTGGAGGAGCAACCAGCTTAATCTTCACAGGGCAGTCATCGTTACCAGCAGCTTCTGCCTTCCGCATTGCATCCTGCAATATTTGCAGACATTTTTTAAACTTCGACAATTGGACATTCTAGTGAAGGCAGCTTAAGTAGCAGAGAAAAAGAAACACCATTTATAACAAAAACCTTAATGTGAAGGACACCATCAAACTGAAAGCATTTCATTTCGATGTCTGCTCTTATCTTCGTAGGCTGTGGTGTCATTCTTCTCCTGATGTTCTTCACCAGAGAATCTTTCACTTCCTCAGTTACAGCTGGCACAACTTTGGTTACCTACAAAACCAGAGATTAGAACTTCTAGGGAGAGAGAAAAAGAAGAGAACCAAGCAGAACAAAATAGACACAAAAAAGGGGCTGTGCCAAAAAAGTTTTCACCTCCTGTCCATCAGGGCCAACTTCCTTGACTTCACGGGTTAGGGAACCAAGAACCGTATCAGGGTCGGTCACAATGATTTTGAATGCCTGCATGATAGTAACGTTTTAGACACAACCTTCAGTCAAATAATCAGAAGCCTCAACAACTATTGTTTCATATCCTCACCTCAAAAGCATGACCATACTTGTGGTACAGAGGCCAGCCGATGTGGATGTACAACTCCTGCCATCAGTCACAGTAAACGGATTATCATTAGTCAGCAAGAAACTTAAGCAGATAAATATGCAGGTACATACGAGAATGACACAGCGAAATACGAAAACAAATTCAACACCAAAACTCTTAAATCAATAATAAGTCACCAAGCATAGGCATCAATCGACACCTCCCACGTATCATATATTTAATTCAAGGGTTAAGTAATATGCTACACGACCTAAAGTCAATATCCATAAAGCTGATAGGCTGACATATGCAGAAGCTGATACATACAGTAAAGCCATCAATCATCATCAAGAACACCACACGTGTAATTATGGTAACGAAAGGATCACAACAATACCAATTCTACTAGCACATCCGGCAATTGCAAAGAAATTCACAAGAACCAGTTCAACTTCTCTTAAAACTTAAAAGCAAGAGGGGAAGGCTTGTCACAGATGGTAACACAAGCCTCATAATAGTTCTTCCCTAACATGAAGGGTGCTCATGATATTTTGGTTAAAGAAAAAGCACCCAGTCGCCATCCTAGCTTAGCCAATACCTCCCCGTCCCCGAGTTGCATAATCATAGGATTACTTGACAATCACAAACTTGAGCAAACATTCTACACTATCTACTCTCAGAATCTATAATCCAACCAAAAGATCAATTTTTTAGCCATTCTTCCGAAAAAGAAGACAGAAACCAAAATTCCCACCCTGGACCATGAACTGTCTCCACTGACACTGAGTGCTTAATTCTTTAGCACCAAACTTACTGATCCCGATTCAACTATCCAAATAATACTAGGCAAAATCCACATTGGAATTGACAGTTCGCTTAGCATCAAGGCATTACCTCCAAATCAAGTCCCAGAGTTTCAGCAACGTGGCGCATGATGGAGTGAACAAGCTTACTCTTGTTGTACCTCTCCTCGCACGTCTGGATATCCTCTTCACTAACCCTCCTCTTACTCAAATCAATGTATCCCTTCTCCTTATCAACCCTAAGCACCATCACGGGCTCGATACGGCCGACCTTAATCAAGCTGCTGACACTACGAATCCGGCGGCGGGAGAGCTCGGAGAACAAGATCATTCCTTCTATGTTGTTGTACTCCAGCAAGGAGACGTAGGCGCCCATGTCGGCGATGTTCTTCACCTGAATCATCACCGCCATGTCTACTTCCGGGTACCGGGACTCGTACATGCGGCAGTCTAAATTCGGACCCGCCATGGCTGCTGCTGAAGGTTGCTGGGAACTGCGACAGAAAATGACGGAGAGGGATTCGGGAGAAGTGGATTGGGTGACAAGTATTTTGGGGACTTATTCTCTGTTGCTTTGGCTGTGAGTGAGCCAGGAATTTTTTCTTAATAGGTTAGGGTTTTCGGAGCAAGCAGGCTGCTGAATATGAGCTTATAAAAAATCTTCCTGGTAAACTTTTTTTTCCTATTCCCTTGATTATTTATTTTTGTAACTGGAGGAATTTTTGACGGGCCGAAGGAGGGGTAATTTATTGCGGGCCGAGATTGAGGCGGTGTGAAAGTAATAAAAAAAAAGATGAATGGGCTGGGCTGAAATTCCAGATCAAATAAGTGAAAACTGAATGAAAAATATCGTCAACAGCAGGATTCGAACCTGCGCAGGCAAAGCCCAACAGATTTCGAGTCTGTCTCCTTAACCACTCGGACATGTTGACGAATTTGATTATCACCCTGTAACAAATGTAATTATCCTAAACAAAAAATGAGTTTGTGGTTGAAAGAAAAACAAAAAAGAAGGTGGCCAAAATTAACGCCCACCGTGGGGCTCGAACCCACGACCACAAGGTTAAGAGCCTTGCGCTCTACCAACTGAGCTAGACGGGCTGCTGGTCATTAGTGACTTTTTAATATTTATATAAATTTTCAATTGCATTAAAAGCAAACCTTTGGCTTTACAAATAGCAAGTCAGCTCATCCCACAGCTGACCTCCTGGAGATGGACCAGTAACAAATGATGGAGCATAAGAACTTGCATTTGTTTTTCTCATGAAGCTAGGCTTTTATTCGACTTTAGGCAAACTATTGGGAAGACTACATAAAGTTTTCAGAAGGAAAATGACTTGAGAAAACTAACATTATACTAACTAGGGATGTATCAGATCTGACTAAACCTACAAT